AGACGTCGGTGTATTTGACGCCATACAATAGAATACAAGGTTTTACGTCGTAAAATTTAGGACGTGATATCTGACAGAGGAATTGGATCCCCTTGAACGTAAAAAAGGTGTCAGAAAGTCAAATATGTGCTCAAAGTGTTTTGAACAGTAATGAACGCCATACTATGGTTTTACACAGATTCCAAGGACGACGTGAAAAAATTCTTTGCGACTTGTAAAAATATAAAAATATACTGAGATGTATGAGGTAACAAACAACATTAGGAAGCGTTCTAGTCAGATCCTCCCGCCTTGACTCGGTGATACGAAAAATTTATTTAGAAAATTTAACCTCTTCAAGTGAGTACTTCCGGTCTACAGCGAACGTTGACTTGTTTGGAGTGTTAATTGAAACTGAAACATTTCATCATAGGAATTAAGTTACTAGACAGACTTTTTCTCACAGGATTTTCGAAATATACTGATCAACTTCAATTGCAGTGGATAACTTCGCAAATAAATCATTTCTTTAAGCTATTTTTGTATGTTCATGTCAACTTCCATGTTCTTTTGTTTTGAAGAACGCCTATGAATGAATTAAGTGCTTCATTAAAAAATACTTGCGTTCGTGTAAATTCATATAAATGGCTCTGAATTGTTTTGCCAGCGATCATTAATATGTAATTGGACTCGCTTAACATCTAAATGGCTTGTGTCATCAGTCCTTTAGCTCTTAAAAGCCTTACGTCGCCGAATTGTCAATATGCGGAAATCTATTTTCCGGAAGGATGATTTTGGGTTACTTCGCAAAAGTCTCAACAGAAACGTTTATTAAAGAAACGATAACCCGCGTGTAAAGTGCCGGAATGACTTCAATGCAGCTAAAAACAAGTTAAACCCACACAGAACGGTTTGAAATCAAGAAATAAAGTATTACGGTTCGTCTGCATTAGCTTAGAGTGGCGCAACAATAATCTCAAGCCTGGAAAACCAATTAATCATAATTAAGTGAAGCAGAGCGCGTGATCATAAATAAAACCTTAACAGTTGTTTTGACACTTTCTGTTTTATACATGAATGCATTTAAAGTTCAGCAACATAAGCAGTTTCATGCGTTAAACCCCGGTTTGTATAATTGTTTGCGCCCAAACGTCTTAGATTAAGGAAATGTAGGAAATTATAAAAGTAAATCTTATTACGCAAATATTCAGATTTAATCAAGAACACCCGGGAAGAGTTTCATGCGTTTTGACCTTTAAATGTTTTCTTTGTAAGACTTGAAAGTCTTCCGCCACCAGGCTTAATAAAATACTGCTGACAAGGGCTCCTTGTTATCGTTTGTGTGTCAGAATTTTATTCAATCCTTAATGGAACATCTGACCAGTTTGAATGTGAGAGAGATAAAAGACTTGCTGCTTGTCAAGTGTATTCTGAACTGAAGGAAATCAGCTTGACATATTTCTGAAACGAAACTGCGCGAGAGAAAGCAAACATGAAAAGGTTTTCTATTTCTGTGTTCTTGATTAAAGCAAGCAAGGAATTAGTTTACCTTGTGAGCTTGTCGCGATCACACAAGCCGTAAACGACATGATCCACAGAATAGTAACCAACAGAATGGTCCTTGTCTTGATCTGATCCATTGTGGCTTTTTTATGGGCGACACAGCTTGAACGATGAAAAGTCAGGTAGGCTGATGTTTCCCTGTTCAGTTTTAACGATAACTTAGACTTCTGCGGAACGAGGAAACTAAGAAGCAATCAAATTCCCCAGAGCGCTACCTAGTGAGCATACGGAGTAATCGTAACCTTCTGTAACAAGGTTTAAAATAGCATTTGTGCGTTGCTGAGCACGCTTGATTCTATAATCCCTCTAGTCGCTTCAGAAGAAATGTAAGACGGAAATCAATTCGAGAAACGGAAACATGTCATCGCTTGTCTGGTATAAGTGCCCGGATTAAGGCATACGAAACAGCAGCACCTTTGTATTTTAGGGCTGAATGACGGACAAGTTTTTTGCTTGACTGCGTCGGTAATCCTTGATCATCATTATGGATATTTTGCATCGAAATGATAAGGATTGTACAGGTAAAAAGACTCTTTATTAAGCAACTCTTGCTAAAGAACGACAAGCTAATTACACGAATTAGCTCATGGGTTTCAAGTTGTGTTTCGAAGCGCGGATTGATACCTGAAGGTTCTGCCATTAAGCACTGTTTTATTCTTTTGAATATTGCCATTCAAAGTATGACAGCCGCTTTCAGAACTGTAAAATTTTTTCACTTTTGTCAAGGTGAAACAAAATTTATTTTGTCACATCATCAATCCCCACCCCATGGAATGCCATCGCCTCTTTAATGAAATGTCAACAACAAATAGGGTGGTTGTGAAAAATATATGCGAAAATACAAACCCTGTCACGCAATAAGCAAAATTTGCTGCAATTTTTTTCACATGTGACCGAAAATTCCCTTAGGTGTTTCCAGTTCTCGTCCTCCTACCGGATACCATGGACTGCAGGCCAAACGGAAATACGCCTGACTGCCTAGATCCCAGCTTTTTTGTGGAGTCAAGAATGAAAGGGATTGGGAACATAAGAAAATTATCTGATAAAACGCGTCCCACAGCTAACTATGCCCACAGTTAGAAACTGGTGAAAACGGACCCAAATACCTGTGTATTTTTGTTCATAGTCTAACATTTAATCTTTCCCTCGCTAGATTAAAGATGCCTTTTACCGACAAAGGTGCATCCTGTGCGAGGGCTGCTCACCGATGTGCAAAATGTAATCGACGATTCAAGGGAAAGGAATCTGTGGAGAGTTTCAGACAGCACTTAGAAAAGAGTTTAAAACATCAGACCTCCAAAGCTAGTGTACCAGAAAGCTGTGGTCATTGTGGTCGTTCCTTCTCAAGCACGAGAGCTTTGCTCCAACACTTGCAAAACAGTCGCCACCATTTGAAAGATTTACATCACGCCGCTTGCACGGGGAATTTTCAACTCGTGCAAAAATTAATGAGAACTGAAGCCGCAAACTGGCCCGGCGATTCTCATCTTCCGTCGAAACCTCAAACGGGCTACACACCGATGCATTGTGCAGCCTTCGGTGGACATGATGAGTGTTTAAAGATTATGCTTAGTTGGCCTGATGGAGACCCGAATGTCGTTGATCCCAAGGATGGCCGAACCCCTGTTCATCTTGCAGCATGGAAAGGACATGGCGTTTGTCTCAAGTTATTACTTGGGAAGGGTGGTGAGCTCCGTCGATTTGATTTCAGAGGAAAAACACCGATTTCTCTAGTCAGAGATCCATATTGCATATCTCTGATTATTTATCATTTAGCTGGTGAGTACGATATTTAATGCTGAACCTAATCTTAAGCTGATAATTTTATCGATCGCTTGTTTATTGTTTGATACTGACGTATGGATTTCAGACCCAGGACATATATCGATGAAGGACGAGATTACAACCACAGACGCTCTATTAAGCTCGCAACCTTCGAGTCCCTCTCTCGCATGTTTTTCCATTTGCGAATTTGCCCTTTTCATGTATTTACAGTTTGTATGCAAGATTATTTGGAAAGGGTAAAGCATGGACCGGTTCTAAATTGGATTTGAAATAAACACGTGTTCTGAATTTATAATTTAACAAAAAGTTCCTACTCCTGTTCTTAGATGTAGACTTGGACTTGCAAACGAACAAGTTCGCTATAAGGTAGCGCGTTGAGCATCCGACAGCGAAGTGTGAACTTCTTAGACTCGAATACTTCTCGAGGACTCAAGGTTTTGTCATGACTAGCTTCTAAATTTTTTAGTCGCGACCAATGAATTAAAATGAAATGGCAAAGTACACTAAACATATGTAAATTTAGATAGATACATGTTTTATATCACCGTGCTTGCTTCGGAAATATGATGGACAAATCTTACCTTATCTATGTCTGTGCTAACACTAATAACGAGCGTAATTTCATCGGTTCACAGTTCAATTAAAGTTAAACTTGAAAAAGTATCAGAAGAAAGTCACGAGTGTATGGAACATATCTTATTTGCGGAAGAATCAAGCAATTTCAAAACGTTCCTCGAGTCGCTGCTTTTAAAGCCATAATTTTTGTATCCTCGAGCAATGGGCTTCGTGCACGCCTTTAGCCATATTGTTTTTCTATTCGAAAATGTATTTTAAATTCTCTGATTCAAAAGGTGTACCCTGCATACCAAAATTATGCCATGAAATATATTGGTCTACGCTCTTGTTCAAGAGCAATAGACCATCGTACCTGTTTACCTAGTTTGTCGACTGAAACATAAAACCATGTTGTCGAAATGAGCGTGTTTATTCGCCTGATTCTTTACTTTTATGTGCAGTATAGGAAGGTGCTGTGCAATAATGAGGAATCACCTAAAGTAAGGGTAGTTGGTGATTTGCTTTGTTATATTTCGTTTCTTGTTTCGTGCGACCTTCAAGTTGTATAGCAATATAATTTTGAAATGATGAGTGTTTGCTTTTCACAGAGACGGAACACGGGCTGGATGTGGAGGGGTCAATAGAACTTGTATGGAAAAGCATTACCGGGGAAATCAGTCCAATGATTTCCACGCCAATCAGAGAACTCCAAGACCCGTGCCATTCTGGGGTGATTGGTCAATCCGGCAATGAAGGTGAAGCTCATTACAATACCAATAAAATCATGCCTCTAATTTATCAGTATGTTTATTGCTCTGAAAGAAGAATCCATTTTCCTGCTTTCCTCCCACTGTACAGACGTTTCGGGTGTAGCATTTCCATTATTTACGAATTGCACCTTTTTAGTGAGGAACATCTTGGTTTGAAGCAACCCCTCCTTCCGCTGAAGCTGGACCATGTGAGACCCAACTGGAAGCATTCGAAGCAAAGTCACTTATCCAGATGTAACGTTGTGCACGTTGATTCTGTATGTCAATTACAATTGGTATTTAAAGTAAGGTACCTTTGTTGACCTCAGTTCAAATAAATGGTGATGATTAGTGCAATACTGAAGGATCGTCTAACCAATATTTCCTTGTTTTTTCTTTAAGGGTAACATATTATGTGATAAGGCGTCAAATCAAATATTTTTCATTCTCAGAATTAATGATTTTACGCATTCTTATCCAATGCAGAATTTTCCAGAGGACCATATGAAGTCCTTGCAAGAGGTGAATTGGCAGTTGAAATATTCAATCAGGCACTACATGACGGGAAAGCATGCATATCTCGCATGCAGCTCACAGTCATAGGGGATGTAGGGGTCGGAAAGACAAGCCTGGTTCGTTCTCTTAGTGGGGAGGAGTTTGAAGAAGAAAGGAAAGAGACCCATGGAATTGACACATCCATGGTCGAGATGACCGAGTTAGACGAGTCGTGGCATGCTGCAGACCCAAACAAGTCCCAAGTCGATGAAATTTTAGCAGACAAAGTTTGTCAGGAAATTCAGCGTTCTCCAGGGGTGGGCCATCCTTGTAATACTCAAGGAAACCAGCTTAATCGTTCTGACCCAAGACCGTCTTTTCAGCCTAGAGGGCAACATTCTCCTTGCGTAAGACGACTTCGTAGCATAGAAGCTCCATCCACATCAGGAAGTATTAGTGCAAGCGATGGGGACCAGACAGGCTTAGTAACAGAGTCACTTGCCTCACCGCATAGTCTAGCACGTGGAGAGAAGTCTTTACGAGAGATGCCAATCGATGAGATCATGCGAAGGCTTAGTCTGAGTTCGGAAGCATCTCTGGATGAGAGCAAAAGGAAGTATGCTAAGATCAGCATTTGGGACTTCGCTGGCCATTCTTTGTACGAAGCTATGCATCATGTTTTCCTTAACAGGCGTTCCTTTTACCTTACCGTATTAAATTTGACTCGGCTGTGTGACCTTGATAGTGCCAGCCAAGTTCTAGAAGAGGTTCATTTTTGGCTCAATTCCATACGCGTGCATGCTCCCCACACGACACCTGTGTTCCTGGTGGGAACACACAGCGGCGAGGTTAGCGAGAAAGACATGGCAACGGCAGAAAAGACAATCTATGATAAATTGGTCGAGAAGTTTGGTCAACAACTTGTGAAAAGCAAGGAAAACAGTTTTCTCTTTCCAGTAGAAAACACCTTTGGTGGCAAAGATCCTGGAGCAGGGGCTTTAAAGAAGGCCATCGAAAATGAGGCAGCACGACTGAGGAAAATGGACGAAGAGCTTCCACTTTTGTGGCTTCATTTTGAAGAGAAAATTCTGAAGTGCAGAGAGGAACAAGAATTTCCCCCATGTGTCCGTAAACCCTACCTAAAACAGATGCTAGAGGAGATTACATCCCGTAGCATCGATGATAGAGAGTTTGGAAGCATACTACAGTTCTATCACGATAGTGGTGTGATCATCCTCCCAGGTCAGTAAAAAGTCTATTGCATTTTCTTATTCAGCATGTTCATTATTTTTATGATTGTTGTTTTTTGTCAGCATTTTCTTATTTAGCATGTTCATGTCATGTAAACAAATAAATTGATATATTTATCGAGTTCTTGAGAAGACTCAAGAAAGTAATGGAACCATATCCTCTGGATTTCAGAAGCGTACATTTAGGTTGCTATATTAAGGACAGCCAATGTCACGGCTAAGTAGTTGCTTTAAATGGCAGCTAACCCTAAAAATGTTTTTTCGCTTAAAAAATCTTCATGCTTTGGTGAGTACTTCTTCGAAAAAATTGTTGGATTTGGTTAAATCCTCAATTTTTTATGCCCCGTTGAAGTCGAGATCTAAATGGACCACGACCGCGTAAATGGGGATCTGGGCAAAGTAGAGTTGTGACATCACTTCGAGAAGACGCTCAAGGAATTCTCAGCCAGTCGTCGATCTGCGAAAGCCTTTCTAGCATGAAATGCATTCTATTTTTTTTTTCATAGCCTCTGAAATTCAAGTGAAAATAATAATGTCTTCCGAATCATTGGATTTGGAGATTAGCTTCGACTCAGACGACTCGCAAATGAGTTTTATCGCTGGATACGAACTTCAAGACGAAGGGCAGTCATCTCGCATCTCACCAATATCACCAGAAACCTCGAGCGATTCAAGCGATGACGATGCTGCTTATACTGACGAGCCACTGGCTGATGCAGAATGGATAAAAAAATACCAAGAAGAAATGAAGGCTAACGAAGAGCTCGAACGAAGCCTTAAGGACCGGTTACAGGGCAATGTAGAACTGAAGGAATGGTGAGATTTGCGGGCTAGCTTTAGTTACGCATTACATGTGTTGGCACGATTGCTTCTGGCGCTATTGTGTATGTATTTCTTAGATGACTTTTCTGCTAACATAAATTTGCTGAACTTTAGGTGCAAGTGTGGAAATTGCAACGTCGCTTTGTTACAAAACATCAGTGAATGTTATTGATGTTGTGAACTGGAAGGCTGCAAAGAATCTCACCATTCTTTTGCCTCGATTACTCAGGGGTTGTTCGTCCTCTGCTACATATAATTCAGTATGAACTGTCGGGAAAGCGGTAATTTCGAAGCTGTCTCGCTCTAAATACGGAATTGATAGAGCTTCTTGGTCCTTCAACAACGTGTACTTTCGAACAAAATCATCTTGCTTGAAATGCCTCGAGCATATCACAGAACTCTTCGATGGCTCCCATTTAGCACGTTTCAGTCTCACAAAATCTATCCATCTTTTCCCTCGTTTCTTCGCCTCTGGACGCTCATCGCCGTAAAACGGTATCGTATGGAGCGCTATTCCATTCTCCAAGCATCTGACGTTACAACGACCTCCAACAACACATCTGTGCGGCATATTTGAGACCAATATCGATCTAATCTTCCAAACATGACTAGTGAAATGTTCGAAATGGCGCGAAATACAGATTGTTGGGTTCTCGAAGTGACGTCACATTACACGCCGGACCCTTGATCCTTAAAACGCGGTCGCGAGTCAAAATGGCGGCGATTTCAATACGATTTTCCGTACTTCAACGGGGCATAAAAATTCAAGGATTTTACCAAATCCAACAATTTTTTCGAAGATATACACACCAAAGCATGAAGATTTTTTTTAAGCGAAAAAAAAAATTTAGGGGTTAGGTGCACTTTAAAGAAGAAGGCTAAGGTATTCAATCCCTAAGTCGTATGTTTACGTCCCCTCATCCTCGGAGACCCAGGGGCTGTGAGTCGAATTCAAGTTTGGGCAGAAGAGCCCCTGGGGACATTGTCTTACAAGACTAGTTCCAAACGGTCGCAGTCGTTCTGGCATCTGATTGGTGACAGAAAATTTTTGTGTTTTTCTGCCCAATCAGAGTGAAGTGTGCTTTAGAGTCCTTTCATGTGTCTTAACACAGACATATACAAGAAGCTCAGTTCCTCGCCATGTTTGTTTGGGCCGTGCGACGGAGATTTGCTCGAGGTGAAAAGTTTCGGTTTTAGCACACAAGAGAAATCGATCAGATTGTCCGCAAAAATCTCACCGGAAATTATACTGAATACTTTCGCAGGTATCACAAGAGAACGTGTTTAAAAGTTTGCGAGGCTCGTTTTAAACACGATGGTTGCAGGCGTTGATATGTCGCTTTAAACGAACAAGATGTAAGCTTAAATCTTTTTAGATTTTTTGTATAATTTGCTGTTACTGAAACTTTGCCAATCCTGTAAAGTTATTTCGTCGCACGGGCCGCGCAGGTATGTCGAGCAACTTACGCTTACGCAGCTTTCTGTGCGCGCCAAAATCTAATATAATCTTCGCTTGAAAAAAAAGAGAAAAGCTAAGCGTGCAAACTTTTGTTTATTAGATGTGAGTAGATGATCCTGTACTAAGCTGACATTTACAATAAAGCAAACCCGCCCTTTCCCTCCAATATTTCTTGGTCTTTGGTTTTGTTTTCCCCAATGAAAGCAGCATCGATTCCCAATAATCAAAGGTACTTAACTTGGTCTTGAACAATCGACAAAAGAGGTGAAATGACAATGACCAAGGGACTAGAAGAGAATCCGCGCTCAAGAATTTAAACACTCTAGGCAGCAGTTGAAAGATTAAGCTCTTTCCAAACCCCTTCGGTAACTCTCCGAAAACATCTCTCCTTCTCACGATGTTCTTGGTAATAAGTTTTTGTTCAGATTTTAATTAGCTAACCGGAGATATAGCTTAGCTTTCTCTAGCGCTTGTTGGAGGTCGTCCACGAACTTAACGCTCTCTGCAACCTTGGCCATATTGTGAAAGACCTTACTACAAAGCGAAACATGGCGAGGAACTGAGCTTCTTGTATATGTCCGTGTTAAAACACACGACAGGACTCTAAAGCACACTTCACTCTGATTGGGCAGAAAAACACAAAGATTTTCTGGCACCAATCAGATGCCAGAACGACTGCGACCGTTTGGATCTAGTCTTGTAAGACAATGTCCTCAGGGGCTCTTCTGCCCTAACTTGAAATCGACTCATTGCCCCCTGGGTCTCCGAGGATGACATCCCCTCAGTTCGACCAGACTAATAATTTAGAATTTCTTTTCAGAGGAGCTAATTGGACCTAAGACGCATCACAACGATTTGAATGATGTAGTGGTAGTCAATCCACAGTATCTCGTTGATGTCATGACCTGTCTTCACGACATTTCCGAGCACCTGAATATTGACCGTGAACATCAGAGTCAGTGGCAGACCCTACAAGACCACGGAGTGGCCACCATCGAGCTTTTGGAGTATCTTTGGAAAGACTTTAAAAGCCCTGCTACTGAGCTTGTTGCTATCTTGGAAGCTTCAGGTATGCTGTGCCCAATTTCTTCTTCCACAGAGGATGAAGACCAAGAGGACGGTACTACACTAGTTAAAGATGATGAGAATGGACCAGAGATTAGAAAATACATCGTACCATTTCACCTGAAGGAAAAATGCTTGAAAGGAAAGTGGGAAAAGCTGTGTCGGAAGAGTTGGTCTGGAATTTGTACCTCGGACAAAGTTCTGATGTTTGATTTCCACGGTTTCCTGCCTCCTGCACTCTTCCACTACTTTATTGTTCGCACTGGCTCAAGAAGTCAGTCCAGCAATGGTATGAGACCGATCATTGCTAAAAGGATGGCCATATTCTCATTTGGAGACAGTTTCTTCATCCTTACAGAGATGTGTCAGAAACACAACCAAATTCGAATAAAGGCCAGGTAAGTCACCTTTCACCTTGATAAAGGTAAATCCCTAATACTCTGTTAGGAACTAGTATCCCATCCAGAAGGAGAAGCATTTCTCATAGTCTCCACCTTAACAGCATCATTTCCAAGAGTTATGTGTGTTATTATCGTATGGAGACTTTTTATCGACGATTTTCTACTATTAACAGGGTGGTGGCATAATTGGTTCTTCTATTTCACTTTCGCTTGCATCAGCTTAATCATTCTCTTGGAGACCTTTACTGTTTCAACATCATATCGTAGGAGATATGAGCTTTCGGCTAAACTTTGCCGATGTTGTAAAAGGTTTCTTTAAATCTAAGCCGCTGGAATAAATGGTAGTTCCGCTTGAGTAATTCTGTTTTCATTCATTGCTATTGCAGGTACAAAAATGAGAAAAAGCTTCATGAGTTATTTTACATCTTGAAGGAGATAATGACGGACATCTGCCAGCGCCAGTTTCGATTTCTCAAGTTCCGTTTCGGACCTACCTGTCCCAACCCACGTTGCCCCGGTTCATCCAGTGAAGGTACAGTTCTTCCAGTGGACACCTCCTCTGACGAAAGTGATAATGATGACAACGATGACGCCGAGTGTGGTGAGCGGGAGTCCTACGTTGATTTCCCAACAGAAGGTGTTCGTCACCATGTAATCTGCATAGACCCAGCTGTTGCATCGAAGCCAATGTGGTGTAACTCCACTCCGGTCCATGAATTCGAAGAAATCAAACAATGGCTTGTTAAGGCAAGGGATTGTCTAATTAGCTTCGTTGAAGTCTTTCTTGTTATTACTTAAAGATTAGTGTTATAAGTTTGTTTTCTTCCTTTAGCCACAAGATACCGTTTCGAAGGTCCCAGAAGACTCTCCTTGTTATTCAAGTAGGTGAATTACCTTACTTAGACCAAGGGCTTCTTCTACGTATGCTTCACTTTTGCTTGCGTGCCAACAGAATTTCATACATGTAGTTGCAATCTAAATTCAGAATACTGATCATGCAATACCTATTGTACCTCTGCCAATTGCGTGCAAAAAGCACTTGTGTTTGAATTTTGGTCATTGATGTTATTTCAGAACCTGTCGAGCCTTGCTGCCTTGCTCTAGTCGCTAAAGAACTGGCCTACAAATGGAAGTGGCTTGGAAGAAGTCTCTCGGTACTAGACACAGTCATTGAGACCATTCAGGCTGAAAACCAAGCTGAAGAAGAAAGGGCATATCAAGTCCTCACCCGGTGGAGTCGAAAGATGGGTTCCGTAGGCACAGTGCATGAGCTGATGAAAGCGATCCAAGAGGTTGGCGACGTTCCACCCTTGGAGGCTTTTGATCGACACCTTGGGGATCGCCACGTAGAGGCAGCTAAGCCCTATTAATGAGGTATTCCACTCTACTTTTGAAGGAAGTCCAAAAGATAAATAAACAATAGCTTCCATCTGGTACGAAAACATACAACTATATTTTATCCATGAAAATTTTCTGTTTCGAGAAACGAACAGCTTTCTGATAGCGAAGCTCGAGGAAAACTCTGAGCTACGAAGAACAAATGATGTGCATGGATACACTATACGTGTATATTTTCGTGCCAGATGGAGGATATTGTGTTTATTAGCCTTAATATATGTTAGCAAATTGCGGGAAAAATGTTTACAAACAGTTTATTGTTTACTGCTGGAATGTTCACCTTCCAATGTTCTCTGGTACGACTTTATGAACAAACTTGTTCCTTCTTCTAGGAAAAAAAACCGAAAACGCCTTCTCCGCTTAAGCTAGATTTTAAACGAACGCTTATTGGATTGGACTTAAGGTTTGAAACTTTGAGAATATCATTTGGGCTTTATCCTCGGATATTCACAGTGTTAGCGACTGGGGCAAAGTCGGTCACGTAATGTGTTTAGACCAATCGCGCCCAAGAAAGAATATTTGGTGAATTATTATCAGAAATATTTAAATAAGGAGTCGTAAATAAAAAAAATTTTCCCCAATTGTTTGGGTACGCAGGTACGTACTGGAGTGGACGTAAGTAAAAAATTATACGGACGCTCGAAAATTTTGAAATTAATTCTTCAATAAGACCAGTTTAATTGACTATGCCAGGTTGTAAGGATACATGTATGTAAATCGCATAAGGTTAGGAAGAAATTTTCAATTCAAGTGAATTGCTCTTGCTAATGTCGTAAACTTAAGTTCAAATTTCTTAACTGTGTTTCAACTTTAGTCACTCAATCCGGAGCAAGATTCACTGACACACTCTATGCCAATGGGCATACTTAATTTGTTTTCATTTACATACATAATTTGAAACAGCCATCCTATCTGCGTGTCTGCTGCTATTCAGTGCAGCGAATGCACCAAAGTGGAAGTATAATCGTTTTCTCACGATGCAGTCTCTTCAAGCGATGAACTTGGATGGATACCCACGATCGAGAAGCATGGCCACGGTTCCGGGAACCGGGGAGTTTTGTAATAACTGTCCGCCGGGGGAACATGTTTTCAAAATGCGCGAAGCATAGCTGAGGGAAACCAACATATCATAGCCCAGCACAGCAAAGGGCTCCATAAGTTAACGCGTATCTCAACGACTTCATCACCTGAAGATGAAAACCAGTATAAAGTAGAGTCACAGCGGTTCACGTCCGAAGTGACTATATCGTGAGAAAACCGATCACATTTCAGTCATTCCTAATGTCTACCTGTCTGTTTGCGAGCTAGCTGTTTGCTTGTCTGTCTGTCTCTTTGTCTGTGTCCAGCTGTCTCCTTTCCCTCTAGGACTGTATCTTACTCGCCAAATTTGAGTGTATAGGCTTGTAGCTATTTACGCAAGACTGATATCGTGCCTACTCCTCGCAGTAAAGTGAAAAGATAAAATTTGAGAGATACAATGATGATCAGAAATTTGATCCAAAACAAAAATTAAAGTGAAAAAAAAAGAGAAATCAGAGTACGAGATTTGATTTGTTCGTGAAAAGAAGACTTTATTTCTGTATGAAATGATCATAAAAGCAAAATTCAAGTAAAAATGTACAAGAAAATTCTATTTATATCAAATCAGACAAATAGTACAGTATACTTCAAGGTATTATTTCAGGCAAGGTACGACTTTGATACAACTATTTCAATTTTAATTTTAATTCTGCATGCGGCTTGGCTGGGTAGTAAATTTTGCCCTTGAAATACAAATTTTCAGTATGGTGAAGATAGGGTACAACATGTCAGACATCCCTTCCTCCTCCTAGTGGTCTTCATTAGACCGGATAATTAACATGAACAATTACACGATGTATTCTTCTATAGGAAGTGATTTATGAAATTCATTATTTGGTAATGAGTTGTAGTTGAACATACCATATGCAATCTTCACTCTGCAAAATTAAAATCTCAATAATTTTATTGTAAAATGGAAACAACAATGATAACAGTAAACTATTAAAGAGTAGCTTACCTTAACTATCTTGAAAAATTACAGACCAGTCATAGCCTAGGGGGTGGGAGGATTTTGTTTGTGTCTCGATAAAATTTACGTGATCCTCCAATAAGGCTCCGCGCCAGTTCATTAGCAGTTAATTTTCGTTAGTCCCCCTTTCTACTCTTTTAGCGAAAACTGATTCCCCCTACGTTCCCCCTGAAAGTCATGCGATTCCCCAAAATCTTTTAACACCCCCTCCCTTTCGCGTTATTATTATTTCTTTCTTTTCATTTTTCAGTAAATTTACTTCCTACCTAAGTTCTTTCGTACATCAAATATTGTAGGATTCTTTTGATTTTACGATACATAGATCATGTTCTGAATGCATAAAATATCTTGCGCAATGATACTTCCCCTCACTTCTTTTGAATAGCATCCCAATACTCTGGGAAAAGTATGGCCAAGAAATTAAATTATTCTGAACAATTTTTTTTTTACTTTTTGGCAATCCGTGTTTTCAAATGTGTCGATTGTCTTGCAAATGTTAGTGTTATGTGTGTCGGAATCGAAACACTGGCAGGGCCACAAAATTTTGATGTATACACCAATTTTAATGCAACGCCTAGGACATTGTGTAGGAGTTACGTGGACGAAACTGTAGTCGTTAGCCAGTCGATGTTGCTTTAAACCTGGACACAAAAGCCGAAATATCTGACTAATGGCACATGGAGATGTATCCCTGAATGTACTACGACTGAATCATTTCTTTATCGTCAGCTACTTGCCGTGTTTTCCTTGCATAACTGTTTCCTCGTGGAATAGTTTCTGCAGACTTATTTGCAAATTTATTCTAAGCTGTAAAGGAAACGATTTTAAATTTTATCAAGCTTTGACTTGCTTCTGCAAAAGAAATCTGCGACTAAACGCTGTCAGAGTACGTCTGAGGTAAATGTTGTTTCAGCTTGACCTTTTTGCAGATCAAACTGAAACTATATTTAGAAGTAATCCAACAATCATTTTAGGAGATTTAGAGAGAACTAGTTGAAACAAGACCGGCATCATTGGAAAAATTAGAATTTCTAAAGTTCATGGCTAATAAGACAGCGGTTTTGATTCGATTAGTCCTTTGAAAGTCTTCTAAGGCGAAATAAAATTGCTATACAAAATTCCTTCATTGTTACCGTTTGTCATATGTTGCAATTTATGACGAAGCAATAAGTAAAATGTGCGATTTAACTTACGGTGGTATAGTGATTGTTGTTCGGTTCTTCTCATCCTCATACATGGTCTTGTAGTAATAAAATGATGAGAAAATTTACCAGCGCATTAAAATACGAGTACCTTTAGAGCCCCTTTCACTCCCACACGTGACCAAGACAGAATTTCTTCTGACAATTTCAATACAATATCAAGCAGACAAGTGATGAGAATAAAGAAAAATATCAATTGGGGGATTATTGGTGGATCAAATAATAAATTCTCCAAACTAACATCATAAGCATTGTATGGCAGACAGTAAGGAAAACTATAGACCACTTTCATAAATGGCTGCCGCATTAATATTCTTTTGTTTAAATTTGAATTAGCCCTACTGGCCTCGTTCTCCAGTACAAAATTCAAAAGAATACATTATCTCAAGCGAGGCCAGTAGGGCTAATTTCAATTAAAACAAAAGAATATTTATATGGCAGCCATTTATGAAATTGGTCTGTGAATGAGGTCATAGGATTGAAAGGGTGAAGTCCCTTTCACTCTGAAGACGCTGCAATTTCACCCCAGAGATTAGGTTTACCATGCGTTTGTTATTTTTTTTATAAAGCAGTGGATTTATCTGGCAGCATTTGCCGAGGTGTTACGGACGTAAAAGTATGGAATCCCTAATGAAAGTGTTCACAAATCTCCACAAAAGTTGTGGACTTAAGAGGGGAGAGGAGGTGTGTGCGTGGGATGTGTTGTGAATGTAAACATAAAATAAAAAATAAAAAAAAACGTTATTAGTCGTTTATTGTGTAGGAACACTGAGAGGCCAACAAACTGCAAAGCTGCCACGTCAACCACAAGGAAGTACAAAAAAAAAAAATTAATAATAGGCAGTGATTATGAGAAGCTGAATTTTTTTCACAAACGGATGCCAGAGGAGTGAGGGAGGTTTCCACTGAAATCTAATACGCGACTTTGCCATCACTGGCGTCAGAATGAACACTGGAATTGGTCAACCCTGTACGGCTTGTTGTTGTTGTTGTTGTTGTCGTTGTTGTTGTTTTGTTGTTGTTGTTTTTGTTTTTGTTGTTGTTGTTGTTGTTGTTGTATGAGATGCAGAGTCNCAGAGGCCAACAAACTGCAAAGCTGCCACGTCAACCACAAGGAAGTACAAAAAAAAAAAAATTAATAATAGGCAGTGATTATGAGAAGCTGAATTTTTTTCACAAACGGATGCCAGAGGAGTGAGGGAGGTTTCCACTGAAATCTAATACGCGACTTTGCCATCACTGGCGTCAGAATGAACACTGGAATTGGTCAACCCTGTACGGCTTGTTGTTGTTGTTGTTGTTGTCGTTGTTGTTGTTTTGTTGTTGTTGTTTTTGTTTTTGTTGTTGTTGTTGTTGTTGTTGTATGAGATGCAGAGTCATGGAAAGCTTCACAATTCTTTTAAAGTTGTATGTCTGCAAACCTTTTTTCTTTCCATGATGGGACGAAGAGATCATTGCTCTGAATGGGAATGTAAAAATTAGCGTAGTCATCCCGAAAATTACAACATTTTAAGGAAAACCCTTTACTCACAATTTGTGGCAGAACAAAACTGTTCTATACGTTCGTGCAAAAGTCCATAAAAGCTTTTAAATGTTTCCTAACTCTTACCATTCTATCTGCATCGAGAAGGGCCTTTTGGAGCTCAGATGAAAAGTGAATTTTAGTTCAGAAATAATTGAAATTTAAGTTTAAGAGTGACAGAATTAGTTATGAATTAGCGTTCATTTGGACGCAGTATTAGAAAAGTTGCTTATTACACATTGAGGTAATTTGGTTGGTTACAAGGTCTTACAAAGACAGAAACAATTGTGAAGGTAAAAATAATTTAATACATGAAAAGTTAATTAGCTAAATTTCACAAGTGATGTAAAAGCAAAAATTGAAAACTTACAAGACAGGAAATAAAATTCACTCTCTTTTTTACTTAGTTCAGTTTCTACATTGGAAGCGTTACTAAAAGAAAATTAATTTTAGCTCTCTCTGAAATGATAGGATTTGTTGCTTTATCTAAATAAGATAAAAGAGGTAAACCGTAGAGATAAATTGGTTCAACATTTCTTGTATTTCTGAATTGTTCATTTAAAAGGAACCAGCTTTTGTGATGCATGTCGTAATAGAAAAAAATGTTCCATTTAGAGTGTAGGTTGTTGTTATTGAAATTCGATCATCTTATTCTTTTCTCCCTCTCTTTCTCAGCCACCCAAATGTTGCGATGAATGAATCCATTCAGTGATTAATGGTAGTGAAGAGCCATTACCGTGGCAAAACAGCATAAGTTTGAAAGTAGGGCACGTAGTGCCCGGTGTTGTAGTCTATCTTTGTGTAGTGTCTATCAAAATTGATGGGGGCATTCTTATTGTAATTATAGTTTGTAGATATTCATTGTAAGAATATTTTTATAAGTGTAATATAGTTTTTACTATTGTTAGTCCTATTCATACATACACTAATACTTCCTTTTCTTTAGGACATGTATTTTGTTACTTAACTTTGTTTTATAAATTTAGTTTGAGGGCCACTAGTTACTCAGTTGAAGCACTGTCCCGTGTTACCCTCGTTAAATAAAGTTGATTGATTGATTGATTTTACACAGTAAGTTCTTACTCAATACGCAAATACGCTGTCAACTTAAGACTGAGAGTCCCCTGCCCCCCAAAAAACTGGACCGTATCGAAGTGTGACAATCGGAGAGTTAGCAAGCATATGTACATCTAAACGATTCACCATGTTTATAAAGTGTTTTGTTCGACCAATGCATGATTTTTAGGGGTACTCCGTTTAGGTACTCCATAGGCTAATCCATGGAGTAGGGCTCCGCGTTGTCATCTCCCGTTTTGACTAGACGCAAGAATAAGACGAAAGAAATGCAATGGCTCCTCTGAAAAGTTGACTTAGGGTGAAATACCGGTAAGCTTTCGGAGAGATTACAAGACATGAATTTCTGTCTTGCTAAAAAAAATATTACTCTGTCGACTAGTACGGATTTGATCCATGCAGGCAAGAATTCACGTGCGGAAAACAATAACGATTGAAAAACCACCGCCGTACTTTGACACGACGTGTTGAATAACCAAAAAGAACATACCTGCAATTAGCTTTCCCCTGAAAATTTGAACATGTTCCACCGTTCTCGCAATATCCATTAAAACAAGTGGAAGCTGGCAGAGACAAACAGAGACCAGAGGTGAGATGAGAAAGATCACGTGGAACTTACAACATTACGACTGAGTGTTAAAAGGTGATTCTAAGACAGCTATTCTGCC